GTCCCTCGGAGGCCTGTCCTTGCCCCAGTCCAGGCCCGCGCAGGCGGTTGGCGCCCTCAGGCCTGCATGCGGCAGCAGCGCGCTCCGGTCCAATCCATGCCTCTGCATTGGCAGTGGCACGTGGTCTCCGAGCGCACGTCCCAGGAGCCGCAGGCGGAGCCACACGTGCAGCCAGTAACAGCGAAACCTGCGGGTGGGAACAACGTGGGGGTGCTTGGACCCGGCGCTGGGAGGCTTGGCGAGGAGGTGGGGACCCCTGTGTGGAGGGCCTAAGGCCAGAGAATGGGGAGGTAGGATACGTGGGGGGGAGGGGGGAGTCGGGAAGTGGCTGGGGGCCTCAACGCTGGTGATTTAAGAAAGTGGGGTCCCGGGGCTGGGGAGAAGGCTGGGGGTCCAGACACAAGGTAGTAGAGGCTGGAGCTCCACTATCTTACAGCCTGACCATGGGCAAGAGGAGTATCCCAAGGGTTAGGGAGGTACCGAGGGCCTTCTGCACTCTGCATTCTGCACTCACCTGCAGGGCAGGTGGCCAGGTCCCCCCTGGAGGTGACACTTCGGCACTCCAGCTTCATGTTCCTGACAGCCTCGAGAACTGCAGGAGAGAGGGAGGGAGGGAAGGACATTGAGATCAATGGTCCTTCCTCGGTCCTCAAGCCCACCAGCTTTGAGGGCTTGGATCCAAGCATGAGGCCAGAGACCCTTCCCTGGGGAAGGCCCCAGAGATGGGGCGCTCACCACCTCCCTGAGACCCTCTGTCTCCCCTTGCCTTTACAGTAAGAGAGGGTTTGAGGCGAATGGAATTGGGTTTGGTTCGAGAGACTGGGTTGGGTTACTAGTCCCTGGGTGGTACAGAGGGTTAACACCTTGGGCTGCCGGCTGAAAGATTGAAGGTTCAAATCCACATGAGGTGCCTCGGAAGAAAGGCTCAAGGATTTTTTTTTTTTTAATAACCTCCTGAAAAGCTCAGTTCTACTTTGACGCACATGGGGGCATCAGCTGTTGGAATGGATTCAATAGCAACTGGTTAACTAGTTTGAGTAGGGGTGGGGTTTGCATTTGGTGTATAAATTAGAGCTGGCATTGACGTGGAGGTTGGGTTGCGTTTGAAGCTGAGAATGGAATTGGTGTTGAGGTTGCCATTGGGTTTGGGTTGAGGTTGAGGGTTGGCTGGAATTGGGGTTTGGGTGGGGATTTGGTTGCGGTTGGGTTTGAGGTGGAGATTTGATTGGTGTTGGATTTGAAGTTGGGGTTGGGTTTAAGGTTGGAATTTGATTGGGGTTGAGTCTGAGGTGGGGATTTGGTTGGGGTTGGATTTGAAGTTGGGATTTGGTTGGGGTTGGATTTGAAGTTGGGATTTGGTTGGGGTTGGATTTGAAGTTGGGGTTGGATTGGGATTTGGGTTTGGGTTTGAGGTTGGCATTCAGTTGGGGTAGAGGTCAGGTCTGCATTAGGGACCAGAGGGACCTTCAGTACGACAGCTGGTGGGGTCCTCACGTAGGGTGCTGGTGCCTTGCTGGAGTTTCTGGTTGATGGCTTCATCCACAGGACACAGGGACTCCCCCGACACCAGCAGCCCCAGAGTGGGGAAGAGGAGCAATGAGACCACCTTCATTCTGTAGGTTCTGTGGGGATGGGAGAAGAGGGCCAGGAGCTGAGAGAGTCCCCACGGCACCCGCCCCTGCTAAGGAGCCCCAGAATCACAGAGGGTGTGGGACTGGGGTCTCTGGGGCCCTATGGACACTAGGCTGAAGGCCCAGCTTTGTCCCCAACCCGGCTGTTGCAGGGATCGCTGTCACTTACCTCTCTCGGTGAACTGAGCCGTCCAAGTCTGGGACACAGATCCCCAGTGCTGCCACGCTGCCTCCACTTTTAAAGCCTCTGCTGTGGGGTTTCCTGTCTTGGGTAATAAGT